GGGTCCTGGCGTGTCCTGAGCACCTGAGGCTGTGTGGCCGTGTCCTGGCTGCAGGCAGGTCCCGCACGGCCGGGCAGGTGCTCGGGGTGCCCAGTGCGTGTGGGGCTGAGCATTGCCTGGGGAAGGAGGTCGAAGACTCTGCAGTGATCCCACGGAAGCTGTCTTGGGGTGTAATGTTGAGAGTTTCTTTGAATCCGGGCACTTCTGCTTTGGTGTCTACTCAGCAGCACGGGCCTCTCTCGCTCCCCTCTGCCTTCCATCTCCTGTGCGGCTCCGTTTGCCTTCTCTTGCCTGGGCTCTTGGACATTGCTCTGGAGAGAGAAAGAAACGTCAGAATGAGGTTTTTTTTCCTGCAAACACTTCGATTGTGGTACCAGTTTCTGTATCTCAGTCCCAGTGCAAAACCCCCCTGGCCTCCCCTGTGGCTTATATTCTAACAGAATGAGAAGCCACCCAGCGAAGGCTACTGTGGCTTTATTCCAGAATATTCCATGTTAATGACAGAGGAGGATCCAGTGCATGCTTTCTTGAATCCATAGGAGTGTGTGTTTGTGGTGTGGTGCGTGCAGTGTGTGTGTGTCTGTGGTGTGTGTCTGTGGTGTGTGTGGTGTGCGTGTGGTGTATGTGTGTGTATGTGTGTGTCTGTGATGTGGGGTGTGTGTGTGGTGTATGTGTAGGTATGTGTGTGATGTGTCTGATGTGTCTGGTGTGTGTCTCTGGGGTGTGTGTGTGTGTGTGTGTGTGTGTGTGTATGTATGTTCGTGATATGTGTTTGTATTCTCAGATTTTGAGAGCAAGGCCTCTATCTCCTCTCCTGCACAAGCCTGAAGCCTTCTCGGGGCGCTGTGCTGGGAGCGTCCTTTGGAGTGCGTTGACCATCATGTTGCACTGGCCCGCCCAGGGGTAAACTCTTGCCTGCCTGAACATTGGATCTTAGCACGAGAAGGGGTTGGTGCCATGTGGGTGCCATGCCCGTGTCCTGCTGGATGTCCCCAATGCCACTAAACCCCTGCTCTGCCTCCCCCGTCCTGCAGGAGCTGTGCCGCCAGCGTATGGCCACGCGGCCACCAGACCGGCCCGAGGGCCCGCACACATCCCGCATCAGCAGCGTCTCGTCCCAGTTCAGCGACGGGCCGATGCCCAGCCCCTCCGCACGCAGCAGCGCCTCGTCCTGGTCCGAGGAGCCCGTGCAGTCCAACATGGACATCTCCACCGGCCACATGATCCTGGTAAGCCCCGCCTTTGCGCTCCCTGCTGCACGAGCACCAGGGCCCTCCTTCCTCGGCCCCTGCAACACCCAGCGTCTGTGCCCACTGACCCGCGGGGACGGGGCCATGATGGCTGCACCCTGCCTGCTGCAGAGGCTGACAGGCAGGGCCCTGTCTGCAGGGAGTCCTCTTAATTTAGATAAACAAGAGTATTTACTTCCTGAGATCTTTGCTGTGCTTCTGCCTGGAACGTGCAGCCCCCACGCACTCTCCCTGGTGTGTAAGAGTGAGCACCCACTATTTAGTTTTCAGTGGAATACACGTCTGTTCGCGCCTGCCATGTGCGCTGCCGTTTTGGGTCTCTGACTTGGAAGCAGTGGCTGTCTCCTTGGCACTCAAGGCCAGCAAGCATCGTTTGGGTAAATAAATGTCACCGCTCTGACAGCGAGGCGGGAGGAGGTGCGGGCTGGGTGCTCAGCTCTTCACAGGAGCCTTCCTGGTGGCGCCAGCACAGAAGGTCACGGTGATGCGGCTTCAGCGGCCTTTTCCAGGGTCCTCGCTGGAGTGATCACGTGTGGAGTGGCCGTGCATTGCCACTCCATACATAACAAATGTCCGGGTGTTAGTAGGAGAGCTGTCGATAGCTTAGCACATCCTGCTGGCTGCCTCCTGGGTCTCCAGGCTGCAGGCGTCATCCCGGTGGGTGACCGTGCCTGGCTGTGCTGTTTCCCACACTGGAGACGGAGTCTCTGGGGTAAAAGGGCAGAGCCTGTTTCACTGCTTGACCGAAGCAGCAGCTGCACTTACTGGTCAGGGAAACATTCTTCACCATACCGTTAAGTTACCAGGTCTCAGGATGGACCCTGTAAGTTGATGTTAAAAGCTTACTTTTTTAAAAACTATTTTTGCCTAATGAGTTAATAATAGTATAGACTGGTGGATCTGGACCACAAAAAGTCAGAAAACCATGTTTTCACTAAAAAGCCTCATTGCAGAGCTTGGAGATCAAGGCTGGAGGCCTCCCGGCCCAGCTGACACTGCAGGGACAGACAGCTCTGACGGCGGGTGGGAAACACTCAATTCTAGACCCACTTGGATCAGACGTTTGGGGAAACTGAGGAACGCAGCAGACTTCTCCCTGGATAACTTAAAATGAGGCGAAGCAACAGTCAGGAAGCCTGGCTTTCCCGGTCAGTGAGCTGAGCAGGGCACATCCTTTCCCATCACTCCCTGGGATGAGCCCACGAAGCCAGACCGCCCGCCGGAAATGCTCTCCCTGCAGGCTTGGTGGGGACGGAGAGCGAACCCGATGCGTTCACACCCTGAGCAGACAGCTCGTGGCTCGTGGAGTTCACTCGGTGACCCTGTCATCGACTTTGGTGGAACTTCCTCCCTTGGTGGATTGTGGTTTTGTTACTTTAGATCTGACTTTTCTGAGGCTGTTTGTCCCTTTTAGAAAAGGAGCAGAGACCAGGAGTTCCTATTTGTGATAAGGTTTGGTATTGGGGTCAAACACATCAGCCAAAGACATTCATCTGACAGGTTAGCCAAGAGGAGAGCCGCTTAGCGAGCTCCCATTGTGTTCTGATATTTCCACATTTCAAGGTGCTTGAGTAACAATTTGATGATATCTCAAGCCCTATTGGTACCTGAAAATACTGTATTTCCCGGAGAATTGTGTTTGGCTTTCGCATATGTCACGGCAGATCTGAAAGCAAACATGAGGGTTCATTTCCGCTGGAATGCCTAAACCGCAAGGACACTCGGCCTCCACCTGGCGGGAACCCTGCAAAGCCTGACTCCAGGCACCCTGTTGGGGGGTCATCGAGGGCCACAGACCGTGACATGGGCCTGTTTGTCAGCGCACCTCACCACGGCCCACAGCTGCAGGGCCGAAACGAGAAACACACTCAGGCCAAGCATGACTCCGGCTGACTTAAACTCTGTGCGTACGGACTGTAAACTCAGGGAAACTGGATCTTCCTCATCAACCAATGAGGAAGATGTTTTGAAAGTGAATGTTACTGAGATATTTCCCTGACTCCACAATGCCAGCAGGCACTGGTGGGAGTCGGGGTGGGTGTGGGGAGCAGCGGGCATCATGCGGAATTGGGGTGGGTGTGGGGAGCGGTGGGTATCGTGCGGAGTCGGGGTGGGTGTGGGGAGCGGCGGGCATCGTGC